CGAACAATCAATGAATAGAAAAAAGTTTCAATTATGCAAAAGATTTTCACATGCATAGGATGGCTTTTCAGTAGCGGGATATTGACCCATTCCGTAACCACTTGTTGAGGCTGTGCTATTACCACCAATAGTTGTATTGTAAACTCCGCTGACCGTTCCATTAACACTGACTAACGGTAACGGTCCTGAAAAATCATGACAGAAATGAAAATGACCAAAAATAATCACGAAGTATTATTTGGAGTTTTGTATTTAGTATCTGTGTCAACTCCTCGCTCATAAAAAATACATCTAACTATATTACTCAGCATCAATGTTACATTTTCATTTTGCGATAGGTTATTGCAGTTACAGACTTGCTCTTTTTCATGTTCAATTACAGAATTAATTCTCGCCTAATACTATTTGAATGTTGTTTTACATGTAAATAACCTACTTGCGATTGTTGTCGCGGCGCTGGAAGAGATCGATGATAGAGAGGCTGTTGTCGCAGTGGCGCTGGTGGAAGGGTTCGATGATAAAGACGATAAAGGTGACGTCGAACGCGCCCGCGTAATACGAAAGGGGGAAGTTGATGATGTGGTAGTCCTCATAGAGGATAATGTTGATGTTGATGTTTTTGTTGCTGCTTGAGTTTTACCATCAGGAACATAAACTACTAAAAGTGCCAAAATCATGAGAATCAATATCGTAAAAATAATGCATAATGCCAAACATGCACATCTCCTCCTTCGTATCTCTGAATATCTAGTATAAGAAAAACTTATGAAATATACATGTCAACTTAATTTAAAAAACTCATACAATGGCTTTGATTGCACAGGTGATGCTTGTGTCCACGCATCAAAATTATTTGATTGTGTCTAAAATAATAAAGAGTCAAAATAATATATCGCCTAATATTGTTTTATCTAATGTCTATTACGTCTAAGTCTTCCGCAACAGTGTGGTTTTTACATGACTTTGCAATCATTCCTCTAGTCTCTATTTATATGATACAGAGAGATAGAAATAAATACTTGATTATCTAAAAGTAAAGATCAAAGCATAATTATTCATTAATATCATGCATTGATAGTGAAGAAAATAAGTAAAACTTTAAAAAAAAACAAATAATACATATTTAATTTATTACATACATATCCAATATAAATAACTAATGACACTGTATTCTGTGTTCAATCGATGTGAATACATGAAAATAGTTCAGCTGCACATTTGATTTTATTGTCCAATAATCATATGAATATTCAAAAGTTGTTAAATAAAAGTATAATCGTGACCACAGCAGATATAAAATATATTGCGTAATTCAAACACTAAGGAATATGTAATAAAACAATAACAAGAAATGATATTTGCATTCAATTATTTCCTAAAAGAATGAAAAACGTCATCTATTCCTTCTTAATTAAAGCCCAACTATTCCAAAAGAGAACATGTGAGTTATTTCTATGTTTCAAATATGGAAAACTTCAGTTCAAACTGATGAAAACATAGATCGATCTGTTAAAATGGTCTTCTTGTAAAGCGTTTTATTTATTGAGCATAAACTTAGAATATAAGATATGCTTTCAGATGTAATGAAACCTGTTACTCTGACATATTATTCATATGATAGTACCACTATTTTCTCAACTAAAAACTTAATTCGTTTTGTTTGTATGGATAAAAATGGCATTAGCACTAGCCGAAATTGTTTCACTGTTTGCAAAAATTGTAACAGAAGAGTTCCACTTTGCATTCATTTTACTTTCTCTAAATGAATATTTTCTGTTTTCTATGAAACGAATACAATAATTAACATGTTTTTCGGTTGAACTGTAACATTATAGATTACTTATCCGACACTTCATTCAGCATTATCCACAGTTATAAACACTTTCCATTAGGTAATGACAACAGTAATAACTAAGAATCGATTCGTTTCAGAAAATAATGAAAGGAATCGACTATAATGAAACTGATAATTGAGCCTTCTTTATATATTTCCTTTTTTTCCTTTGTTTTTTATCGGCTGATTATGTGTCCGTTATTTAATAGAATCATGTTTGTCTACTTCTAAATAAGCTCTTTCAAATAATGTTTGCTTTGCTGCAGTGCATTTTGAGACTGAATGTCATTGGATAAGGAATTTCACGATTATTTAAGAATAGCCAAGAATTTGCGATCGATATTAAATATTGTTGACAAGTTGGATAAGGATTTTATAACTTCCCAAATCGTTTGTATTTAGATGATCAAGTTCAAGTCGATTCTAAACTATTCAAAATTATGAAATAGAATGAGGATTTCCTTGTGTATGCGTTACAAAAAGAAACTGATTGTTAAAGTTCCATAATTATTATTTAATAATTTTTATAGAAAATACAATTAATGTATTCCAAAAATGAACAGAAAAGACATGATCGAATCAAGTAAATTCAATTAAGTTTTTCTAAAATCATCTATTTGATCATTATCGTTAAAGATTTTCTTATGTTTGATGAAGAAACCCATATGATGCGTTATAGCGTTTGCCGGGAAATGACATCTATTTCAACCTAAGATAAATTTCCGGGAAATCTCAAAATCACATTCCAAAAGATCTCTTCATAATCCAAGCGGGTATTCTAAACGAAATACACAACTTCCAGTGAGGGTGCGACGAAGGATGATGACGGTTTTATCTCAGTTATTCTTTTTTTTTGAACAATATCTTTCACTCATATTTATTGTTATAGCCATGGCCGTTCAAAGAGACATAATGAATCTGGTCTACCTAATGAACTTCGTAAGTTTTCGCACAGTCCGTATAAGATAATTTCCACCCTGGAAATTGGGAAATTGCACTATACGGACATTCATGTAAAGGGTCCTTGCCTGATTTCCATGCTTCGAAATCGGGAAATTTTGTATGGCGGCTATTGCGAAGATGATACGAGATGCGATAGAGATCGGTAGCATAAACTTAGACAAAAACAAATTTCCCGGAAAACGCTGTAATGCATCAAATCAAGAATCCCAGAAACAGCAACTTCTTTCCTGGTTTTTTCTCAAAATCGCAGAAAAACACAAATGGAACTCTTTTTTGGACAGACCAAATGCGTATAATGTCTATTTTAGTTATAGACAAATACTGAAATCAACATGATTACTTTTTCCCACATGATTTTCTTGGTTTTTCAAAATTTGAACACGTTGAATATGCTGATTTTTCCCTGAAACTAATATATTTTTAACACATGATCAAAATACTCTCTGTATATATACAAATAGCTTCAAACTGATTAAGTAAACTATGCAAGACTTTGTTTATTAAGATATTTTTCAGTTCAGTACAAATCAATATTATTTATTTTTATTTTACATTAGTGTCATGATGTATAGTGCAATATAATTTTTTGGGATTCCCGAGGGTGGGTGAGGTGAGGTTGTGGGTGTAGGTGAAGGTGTGTATGAAGAATAGATACTGACACCGACATCCGTTGATTCGCATATATACTCTGACCCTCACCCACACCCACACCCACACCCTCAGACTGATCTTATTGAATTTCATATGTGGTAAGTCATTTCCTATGTATATGATAATAGCCCTATTGCACGAATGTGAATTAGATTCAATTAATTCGAAGAAACCTTGTCTTATTTTCGTTGTAAAGCTATAAAGAAGTTGATGTCATTAAATTTTGTCAGAAAAGTAACCCTAAGTGATGAATTCTATACGAAAGAAAGCTAGTGTAGTGATGAAGAGAGCTATTCATTATGAATACTCGATATCGTCATCACGTATGATTTTGATAAGAATTCAGTCTATGGAGAAGCATAAAAAAGAAGTTTATTTGAATATAAAAGTTCTTATTTGACTTGGTCCGGACGTAAAACTATATTGAACGGTTGAATGATCAGTTGGCTTAAATTCATGCATACTATGAATACCTTGTATTGTACCTAAACCAAAAGCAACGTAAGAGAATAAAGTCAAAAGTCTTCTTACCTGTTGCTCGAAGTTTTTCGGTTCTAGTTTTATAAGTTTTCTTAACTTTTTCTACTTCATCCGAGTCAAGATAGAAGATATTAACAGGAGGATTATCTTTGTTAGATCTTTTTGCTGTTTCAAGTTGTTGTTTTTTTCAAAACTCGTAAAAATCCTTTGCGCTTGACATGAGAATGTTCTTGGAAAGTGTATCACGTCTGACAGTAGACTTTAGCACTGCCTCAATTCCGTCTCCAGCACTTTTACCATGACCCGTAGCTGTGAACGTCCAAGAAGCATCCAAACCAAAATCGCGATTGTGATGAATCGGGTTCAAGACACTAGCGTTATTCTTAAAATGGGCAGATGCTCCATCACTAAACGAAAGAAGAGAGATAACATAGCACGTAAAGCACATAAAAAATAGGATTTACCTCACATAATTGATCTTTTTTACTAATGGAAAGTTTTTCTTAATAAATTCAATGAGAATTTTTTGTGCACAGTGCACGAATGCTGTTGTATGTTCCATATAATTGCTTATAATTGCTAAATTTGTGTGTTTATCTCCAATGGTAAGATGGATTGTAAATAAGCTGACTTGGTACTGGCTAAAGAGGCCTTGTTGAACTTCACCCTGACGTGTCAATGTGTAATTTATTGAGAAATCTATCTGCGCCATCATAAACGAATCGTTCGTCGATTTGCTGCGCAAATCTTTGATGAATTCACGTTGTTCTCTGTTTATGTGTGTATGAAGCAAGAATGATGGCCATCTTTCTTCAATTTTCGATATGAGAGATTCAACTGAGCCAAACATCTGTTGAAGGTCGGACTTATTGTTAACTTTCTTCTACAGAGTCCATAAACATTCTTCATCCAAATCCACCATACTGTTACCAGTGAGAACATCTCTGATGTTCTTCGATGAACAATTATTGCATTTACCACTGAAGCACTTTTCATTAGAGTCTGGGGACAACATTTGATTAATTAGATCTTTCATATTAATCTTGAGGGTTGCTGATAAAGCAGCTGTACCGGCACATTTTTTATAGTGGTTGTTCCAAGCCTATAATGAAACTATTTAAAGTTTGAATCAACATACAAATGGCACAAACCTTCAACAACAAGTCAATGTTCTCATGAATTATACAGATACACGTATCATGTGGTGTCGCAGTTTTTACTTCTCGTGGTCGAAGGGCATTGAAAGTTGATCGCGCAACAAGTCCAGGATGTTGTTCATTGAATATTCGATACGCGTCCAACACCCTCATTTCTAGAAAGTGAACTGCTACTGATTGTCCATTGATTTTAATCGTGTCTTTGGAATTGGATGAGGCTCGACTGATACCATCTTCACGATAAAACTCGACCACTTCATCAATCGTTGAGTCAGACAAAGCACGATTAGTTCCTCGCAGACACTGTGGATAAGCGAGTATTCCACTGTTTTTTCGAAGAACAAGCGATCGTCGAGCCTGATTTGGTTTTGATTGAAACCTAATAAATAGAAAGAATACGGAGATATTGAACAAAAAGAGAATAGAATACGCACCATTTTGCTATTTTTTGTCGACCCCAATCTTTAGGAGCAATTGTCATCAGGCGAACTCTTTCATCAGCATCACTATCAGCATATAACTTTTTTAAACCACTTAAAAGTTCGTTCGATTCTTGTATTGTTAATTCATTAGGATGGGCATCATTCGAAAGTTGAGATTTCTCATCCAGTACATCGCATAATCGATTTAGTTTTCGATAAACTTCGTCAACTTTGGTCCGAATGGGTGCTACTACTGATCTAAATACAATCGTCATTTCAGTAAATTCGAATTGAGTTTACAAACTAACCTGTCATGAATAGGATCTATGTTCAGTAATTTGAATACAGCTGATAATTCTTCCATTGCTTTATCTTTCTTATATTCGAGTTCACAGGAAACATGATCTATCTCTTCGTTCGTCGATTCGAGATCAGTTGGGCTTTCATCCATTTGTGGTGATTTATCATCGTCGTCGTCTGATTCAGCTATAATACCACTATCCATATGAGAATTTTGTTTCTCTTCTTCGTTCAGTTCATTGACATCCATATCAACAGCATCATTATTTTTATTTTGATTGATAGGAGAACCTTCTGTCATGAATTATTCACCACTAGAACTTTCATCGTCGTTGACTTCCATTGATTGATGATTCATCATTTTCTTCGATTCGAATGTATGGCATCTTGGACATAACCAATGAATTCGCTTTTGAGCCACATCATAATGAGAAATCAAAAAGTTTGAAAGCTCTATAGACACAAGCTTGACTCCTTTTGGCACACATGTAGATTTCTCATGATTTATCGGACGTTCACAATAGTTTTGTCTTGGAATCGAGATAAGATTTTCGAACAAAAGAGGTACCACTGAACAATCAATATCTGTACTAATATTCAATGATGCATCGCGTAATCTTATTCGCTTAAGATCAGGACATTTTTAGAAACACATCACGTTTTAAATCTAAAGATGTCCTTACACAAAAATCGAAAATCCATCTCTTTGATAACACTGTCCTTTTCGACTGCGCTCTCTTACTTCTGTGAGAACGCTTCATGACGAACCTTTCTAGTGATGTAAGCAAAGTCATCAGTTCAGCACCATTTCGAGAGAACAGTATCATCAAAACTCTTATACTCTACGACGAAAATAAGACAAGATTTCTTCGAATTAATTGAATCTAATTCACATTCGCGCAATAGGACTATTATCGTATACATAGAAAATGACTTACCACATATGAAATTCAATAAGATCAGTCTGATTCTTACCAGAAAACATGTTTCTAGATTTGTTTGATATTTATGAGTACTAGACAATTCTGAAAAAAGAGCTTTTGATGAAGTTCCAGATGTTTTTCTGTCATTTTTTCTATGTACAAAAAAACGCTGTAGGTATACCTAAAAAACGCTAAAAAGCTCGAGGTTTTCCACAGGTGGGACTCAATTCTTTTTACCAAAAGTGTTTTCTAACAGAGATCGGATATTTGAGCCGAAAAAAAATCGAAAGAAAAAACCTTTTCCAAAAAGTGGGTGAGCCCTCATGGATTGACCCATTAATGAAAACTTTCCATACGGACTTATGAGACATCTGTACTTTGAACTTACAATTCTTGAGTAAAAAAGGGCAAAAATACTGAGTATTGTACTCAGTAACCAGTCTCTGCCTCAAATTGGGTCTTGTTTCAAAAGTTATTATTATTTAAACAAAGAAAAAGTTGAATTGTTCCTCTCTACAAACATGCTGAGCTAGTACGTCTTACAATTGACACAGTCGAGGGTCAAGTGAATCACAATGACGAACGTTACTTGTTCAGTTCTATTTAGATTCAAATAAATATCTTTTTATTTCGGATTTGGAAAATCATCGTATTGTTGGAAAAAGATCAAATGCTTTTCGATGTTTAATTGGATGTAATAGAAAAAGTACATTCAACATTCAATTATCACGACCATCTAAATTTACTTTTGATCTTAATGAAAATGTACTTATTTTCCATTCTTGTGGTACACTAATTCGGAAATTTTTGTGTACAAACGGATTCTTGCGGTAAGCTCTATGCTGAACAACATTGATGAATAATTAGATTTCGTGAAAGTTAGATGTTAGAAAATTGTTTTTATTTTTAGGATCTGTTCCATTAACTATACAAACAGAATATTCATCTATTTTAACAAATAATCATAGAAAGTTTTCACGTACTTTATTTGATTATTCAAATTATTATTATGAAACTATAGGAATAACTGTGATAGAAAATGACTCTCGGCGTCTGACTAACAGTACGAACAATATTATTGGAGAAGAGAAATATTCGATTCGATCCAATACTTGGTACTACTTCGACTAATGTCCCAATCTATTCGAACGACAATGACGAACACTACTCTGGTCAAAATCATTTTCTTTATGATGTCAAAACAGGAGTGGAGTAGTAATGAGTTGGATATACACGACGATCGCTTTTTCTTCGTAAAAGTTCACTCCATTTAGACGTTAATTTCGCAGATAATGTATGATATAATTTGAATTATGTTCAACAAGTCATTGATTATTCATCAAGGAAATTGAAAATCATATTCGTGTTTATTTGTTGGCATTAATTTCATATATTGTCGCTTAATAAAGTATCAATGACATCGATTACTATCAAAGTAAAACATTCTACAAATAATTCTGCATACGATAAGTAAATGTGTCGATGAAAAAGACGAATCACATATCACCGAAGGTAAATTTCTCCGAAAATAGTTTTTGTCAGTTTTATTTGAGATAATTTTTTGTCACTAGAATGAGTTTCATGAAAAATGAAATCAATAAAACAAGTTTCTTCGAAAGTGCATTAATTGAAACACACGTACTACATATTATTTCGCCGAATTGAATTGAAAAAACTGAATAGTAAGAATTGTTCTTGCGAGAAAAATCGACATCTGTCTGTTTTTTTTTGTGTTATATATTCACTCGTGTTCGCTAATCAACCTTTAAATAAGAAAGAAACGACAATGCAAAAATTCGGTTATTTACTCTATTTAGTTGTTTTCTGCTTAGTCTTCAATGTAGTTTACTTGAAAAGTTCTCCAATGAATCAAATGAAGATCAATGAACGTGCTTGTAGTGCTAAAGATGTTATGGATTGTACTAATAGCTGTCTCAATCTTTGTATTGTCAATCCCAAATATTGTGGTTCTCAACTTACTGCTTGTCAAAATCGTTGTTATTCTATTTGTGGTTGGCCACAAGTTGGTAAATAAAACAAGTTTTATTATATGAAGACATCATCAGAATATTATTGATGCTTTGTTAAAACTCAACAATAATATACACATTATCCTCTCAAGTTTACTCTTATTAATCAAGATTTCTTTTTTCCCAAACTATCATCCAGTTAATTTTTATCTCTTATATTCCTAATTGCTCAATAAAAGCGGTTTCGTGAAAAATTTTTTCTAAGTTGATCGAGTAATTCATCAGTTGATGAAAATAAAGAGTTATTTTTGTTAATCATCTTGCCACTAAAAATTCGACATACGTAGATGAGACATTCTATCAATTAATTCGAGATATTTTTTTGATTGTCAATGGCAATTGAAAGCATTTGATATTGATCAATACTTTGTAAATCAAGTGGGCGTATTGATCTATCAGAGTATTCATAAGGAGATTTTCCTTCGCATAGTAATGAAGATCAACTTTCGAATGTCAATGAATTGCGATATGTCGCTCGATCAGGTTATTTTTGGAAATGACAATTTAAAAAAATTTTCATCGAAAGGAACAAATAAATATAAATCACGAAAATTGAGAAATTGAAAAGAAGAAAAAAAAAACTCGATTCTTTGAAGGAATAAGTTCAAAACCAAGAGTACGAACATTTGTCTAATAAAGAAATCAAAATCGAAAAGATAAAGTAATTTATAAATATAAATATTTTTTATTAAATTGAACAAACCATTGATGTTCAACAAATCAAAAATTGGCTTCGAAATGAATTCAATAAATTATTGACACATTCTTTTTTATTTCCACCACCATTAAGACGAAATATTATATTTAATTGAAAAGATTTCATTTCTGCTAAATATTTAACAAGAATTCGTTGCCAATCTTCTTCATTTAAATCAATATCCATATGACAAATTTTAATCGATCGTAATGAAATTATCTAGTGAAAAGTTATTCTATAATTAAGAAAAGAATTGATTGAATCGGGAGTTTCATTATCATTGGAAAGAGTTAAAGATACAATTCGATCAGTTATCAATGGAAAATATTGTTGATAAAATAATCAAACTCAAATTTTGAAATTGATCGAAAATTCAAATGATAATTCTTGTAATAAGTGAAGACACTATCATGTCCATCTTTTCTTCTCAGCAATGAACTTAAATTGATTCTAATACATTGAATTACTATGTTTGTAAACCATGATCATAATCATATATTTGCGACTAACGATTATCAACATTTGATATAGAAGAACGACTATTATCAGGCTACTTTTTGTCTTTTCTTGTCACTGATGTTGTTAAATGAAGAGTATAATCATTAAACGATTAAATACTTCTTAAAAAGTGACGACAAATATTAATCTATTATGGTCGATACGATACCAGGAAGAACATATGAAACGGTTTTCTTCTCTACGCATAAACAACAACTGAACAAAAAATAAACTTCGAAAATGGAAAAGTACANGAATAAAGAGAATCACACAAAAATGAAAACAAACTACTCTATATATAGAGCAACTAATAGAGAAAAACGACAACTGAAAAATAACAGCGTGATCTAACTATATACCAAAACAAATGATGGAAAGACAAGAAAAAAGATCATCATGAGGACATGATGATCAAGAGAAGAAACACATCCCACAGGAAAGAAAAGAAGATGTGTATCGCGACAGAAAGGAATGTGAAGAGAGGGAGAAAAGAGACGAACGTAAAGAAACATAAACATATCTATGTATATGTACATAGATATGTGAAACGATAGCGTTATGTACTAACAACACATGACGCTAACAAGAACCACTCTCGAAACTAATGAATCCTTTCCCTTTTAGTCCTTGTTAAAAAGTCACCACCTTTGTTTTATTACGGCCATCGAAAACAACACTTGACAAAGGAAACATTATTTTGACTAACTTGCACCAGATGGGATTTATACAATATAGCTGTCTATACAAGTGTGTGATCTCAATAATACGCTGATGACTATGGAAGTCGGTAATTGGATATCAGTCAGCCATAAGAGTTTGTTCTGCATATTACCGCTTAAAACACTATCGGCTACAAAAAGTGATCCTGTGTCGCAAAAAAGGAGACAGAAAGCTTTTATGAAAAAACTAACCTCGAATTTGAGTTCCTCGGCCTAGATTACCGCTCGGTCAACCCTTGCTGCGTACATTAATAGTTCATCCCTAATTAGCCTGAAGGTGACTAATAGATTGGTGTGAAGCTAGCACGAACAAACGATATGTTAGCTAAAACCTTTTTTACTAAATATGTCCCGTCCATGAAAACTACACCATTCAACTCAGAATTCAATTCTGTATCGAATGGTGGTACTTTTATTCACGGGACAAACTTTGGAAAATTTTCTATCTATATCTTTGTTTGCTTCATATGGGTCTATTTATGATACAGATCAAATTTTTCCAAAGTTTTTCCCATGGATAAAAGTGTCACCATTCGATGCAGAACTAAATTCCGGGTCGAATGGTATCGTTTTCATGGACGGGACATATTCAGTAAAAAAGTTTTTAGCTAACATATCGTTTGTTCGTGCTAGCTTCACACCTATGTGGTGTGTGATATTGACGAAATCTGCTACTGTATCTTTTTAAAAGATTATTTGTTACATCTAACCGACTTATTCGCTTAAAATTCGTTATTTATTTCCTGGTAAATGTGAATTAAGTTTTTTCCCAGTAATATTCATAGCAATAAAAGGAATGATTACTTCTTCGACAGTTTTTTTGGCACCACTTTTACAATCATAACTAGGTATGCACCAAATCCAACTCCAATCAAATTCAAATCTAATTCTAGAGTTGGATTTGACTCATTTGGTTAGGGTTGGATTTAGTTTTGACTGGATTTGATGAGATTTGACTGAAATCGCTTGCAACATTGATTAGATTTGAATTCAAGCTTTCTTGAATTTCATTTTAATGCGAATTAATAACAAATTAGAGTGAATGCGACCTAACACGTTTTGCAGATGTAACGATAATGATATCGTTCATCTCTTTCTGTTCTTTATCCTCTCACCTCTATATCATACTATCTCCGGGTCATATCTCTCTTTCCTCTTCTCTATATAAGCGCGTGTCTTATTGTGAAAGAGATACATTCTGGTCATGTAGAGTAGTCAATAAACATCTATACCGTGAGAAGCGGTCAGCTACTCAACCAGTTTGTCATTACAGCAGAGATCTCTGACTTTCTTCATGAAAAGACTAGAATACGATCAAATTTTGGCTAGAATTTTATTGGCTTTTCTCCGCAGTTGTGTTACCGATTCTCTGCTCTGTGAAAACAATGAAAATTTGGTTGGATTTGACAGTCAAATCCGATCAAACCCAAATCCAACTCCAGTCAATCCCACCAAATCCAGACCCAAATTCACCCAACTCCGATCAAATCTAGGAATTGGCATTGACCGGAATTGGATTTGGTGCATACCTCATCATAACATAAATATTTAGAATTTTTTTATTAACAAAAGGAAAAGAACGGAGAATAATTCACTGTTTTTTGTTCGCTATCAACAAATCCGTTTCTATAATGCTCTTTATGTTGCTTATTCATATGATTAAAATTTAATCGTATATTGAAAAAGAACGCACTATCGCTTTAAATATGATCTCAAGTCTTGCCTATAATTCGAAAATGATCACAGCTGAGAATCCCATCTCTAGTTCTGTTAAACACAGAGCTTGGATTAATATTCTCTTATCATTCAATTAACCCTCCATGGATGTTCTCATTTTGTGTCCATTTTCAATGTCGAGAATTTTCTATAGATACTATGAGTTAGTTTTGAGTATTGTTTTCCGTGTTTCAGCTTCACATGAAGTTACCAAAAACATTGCATTCGCAAAACAGTTAGTGTTCTAGCAGGGGTAAACTAAATGGGGTGCGGGTCTACACGGACCTCACAACATCGACGGAGGGTTAACTTGCACACCCCTATGCAAGACGATGACGTATTCAAAACGTTTCTAATTAAGTCTATCATAATATACTACACTGAAATAATTTATTTTAATTATCGTATTGGATATTCATAAAAGATTGAAGACCTTCCTTGATTTTACATGTAAAAATTCTGATTCAATACTAATAAGTGTTATGTAGTTATTCGTAAATGAGTATTCATGTAGAAAATGTCACAATCATTGACGAGCACTCATGTTAAAATCTAAGTATCTGAGCATGCCTATCACACATTCGACTATGTAATATGGTGTGTTTTTCTAGTACTGCGATGTTGCATAGATTTTTATTTAATATTATCTTTTAAATTATCCTCAACATTACAATATTCGATTTGTGAATGATTCATTCAATCACAATGAGCATTTTGTATAAAAGTAAGATGATTAATAAATCATTTTTTCAACACTTAGAAACTAGTCATCAATTCTGGTAGTTGTATTGAGTGTTTATTCTTTAATCGATACATCATTGTCTATATCACCCCAATGAACACATTTTTCATCATCACCCATTTGAGCTAATGATATTTTGACTAATCTGTCATGATCAAGTTCTACATGGAAAGTCTCATTCTCATTAACTTGCTTTTTGGATTGACTGTCACTCGGATAAAGAAACTATAAGATAAAAGAATATAAGATGGATAGACAATAAGAGATATGTACGATACTATAAATGAGCATTTCAAATTTTCGTCAATTGACAAGATGGGAACTGTAATATCGAATTCGCCCAAATAATCTGGAGCGGTTAAAATAGTGACCAATCGACGATCAGCGAAGAACTCGTAACCATTTGAGAGGAACTTTAAAGACAAGCAGAATATCCAACGATTTGCTTACNGATCTTGTAAGTGGAAGATTTCGAGTTCTAGACAGTATAATTGCCATTCTTTGATGATGTAACATTTTTCTAATATGCTCTGATGTTAGTATACGTAGAGGTCGTTCTATTCCCAAACAGTCAAGGTTTTGGGAAAACGCGTGTAAATGCAGAAAAACACTATTTTTATAGTGTTTACATGCGTGCAGGAGAAAGTGGACATGAAAACACGAAGAATCTTTCTTTCTGATTGTGAACACGGCTGAAATTTTCTCGAGTATGATTAACAAACGTGTTTGCTAGAAGAAAGTGCTCTGTTGTGTCGTCTTATCGTTCACTTTTCTACATGAGCTTATAAACATGTAGAAATCTGAGATACTTTGCGTTTAACTCTACAGTTATAAATGTTGAGAAGTCTGCCATAAATAATGGTCGTGTTTACGCTTCATAATTACGTTTTTATACTGATTATCTTTCACAATTGTTTTTTCGTACTTTTCTAGGAAATTTTAGCGTGTTAACGATGAAAAAATAAAAGCAATATGTGTTTTCATAAATTAAATTCGTATTTACAAACATCGTACAGCTTTCACTTGATTTATATCTGCAGAATATTAAGTTCTGTTAAAAACATGTATGAATAACTGCTGGAATGTTTGATATTGGAATGTTTAAGCATATAAGAAAAATATTCCACGACTAACAACGTCAAATTACCGCTGTGACCGATTAAACACAGGTATTTTCTGTGATTTATGTTTTTCATACTGCGTAAACATGTAAAATAGGTCTGTTCTTCCCGATTACTTGCGTCAATTTATAGCACACATTCCAGATTAACCATTTGTAATCATTTCAGCGATAATTTTTCCCCATAAAGAGACGAACGACATGTTCTGCTCAAGTTCGAGCTATTGCATAGATAATTGTAGTTTGAATCCAATGTTGATATGCATTTCGTACCAATTTTGAAACTTTTATTTTATCTTTAAATGCAATAGTGTTTTTCTATCTGAGAAACGACCTAATAGATTATCAATATAATGCGTAGAAGAGTATTCTTTTCATGTGCTTTCGACAATGTTAGGATAACGAAAGAACTGAAAAACGTCACCGATTTTGTTATATGCTAATTTAGTGATGATATCTTGTGCATGAATAGTGACCAAACGGTGTGGATTTGTCAATTTCCCCCAGAATATGAATGGATTCATTATCTGTTTGTTTTTCAATTTCAGACTGTCATGATTGGTAATGTCCACCGTGTGAATAATTAGTCGATAATCATCGACTGATTCGCGAATAATTGCAAAAAAGGAACCACAACTAAACTGCTGTTGTTGGTGTTTGAACAATAGACAAGAGTCAGAATTTTTCGTAGTTGAAAGAAGATCATATGTTGAAAATTGAATGTGGTTTTTACAGAAAGTTTGATAGATAGTAACATTTTTGAACGTGATCGAGCTGTTCTGCAAATCAAGTTTTCGGGCAAAACGTATAGAAAAGTTTTCATCTAAGGATTTTTCACTTGGTAATGCTTGACGTTTGGTGGAAAAAATACGAAATACATATAACTTTAACGATCGGTTCAAGTTAATGTTATTTAATTCGTTAGTTGCACTTTGGACAATGTTTAGATTATTGATTAGTTCTGAGATAATCAGATTGGGTCCATTGATCGATTGGGTAATTGAACCTGTAGAATGAAATATTAAGCGTTCTTGGTACTGAAATTATCACGTCAATGGTTTTGATACAAACCAATCGCACTCTCAAAATTGAAAGTTGAAAAATTCTGCATTAGGCCAAAGTCTCTTAGTGATTGATGTACGTGCACCATGGAATGTATGACAGACGTCATTGTAGTTTCCTTGAAAACAGAATTCTTAGAAAAAGTGGGTCACACTCTGACTACCGACGATGTGTTTTTATTCATGTATCATAGTGAGACTAGTATTTTGAGAAAGAGTCACATAAAAATATGTAAGAAATTGATCGTTATAATGGGCAAAATTTATCTCCTTTGACATAAAATTATGCCAAAAGATTATCCTTTAAAGCAAGATTTAAATAGCTATTTCTATGTTCCATCTCTACTCAAAAAGGACAATCTGTATCTTGTTGAAAGTAGCTTCAAATAAGTTGTTTCCAGTTTTTCCCAAATGCATACGTATATGAATACTCGCTAGATATAAGGATGAAAAAGAGCGATCGAATTCATCTAGTAAATCTCTGATAGTGTCGATTGTGTCATCAAAAATCACGGACGATTCTGATAAAGCCATAGCAAATGCTAGAAGTTTCAAGTGTTGATAACAACGAGCAGGAAGAAACGGTTGAAAATACCTAAATAAAAATAATGTTCTATTTTCATGTTTTCCGACCATCTAACTAGTGGCGTAACCAGGGGGTGGCCAGGTGGGGCTCAGCCTCACCACCGAGCTTTTGAGCCCCACCACCCAAAATTTTAGTAAAGCAAATGAAATTTGACAAATAAACGTCTGTTCTTGCACAAATCTTTTTCAAATGAAACAAAGCTTGTCTTTCAATCTCAGCTATCGACATTATGAATATCTTCTTGCAATGATGAAACTATTGCAGATCTAAAATATTGATCTACATACGAGTTGTCTCAACGCTTGTTAGATTAGTAAAAAGCACAATCTATATTAGTATCGTTGAAGATATGTGAAAAGAACCTTCTCCAAAAAAGAAATGATTAGAATAACAATTAGAAACAGAATAACTGATGCTGATGATCGATTGAGGAACATTTCTTTAAGTTTTTTTGAACGTAATAATTAACTATCTACCGGTAGGAGTAACGATGTTCAAAACAGTTCTCAAATTATACTGAATTAAAAATTTATCTTATTTCCTTTGTCTTTACAATATTTTTAGACTTTGCACATGAGCTAGTTAATCATTGAGACGAATCAGCTTATATAGCGTTCTAAATGTACTTTAATGCAATGTTCAAAAATTTAGTAGTGTAAGTATCTCTCGATCAACTTTAATATTAGTGATGCAATCTTTGAAGCACCAATTAGAACATTTTTAGTTTTTCTCGAAATTTTTTCAAAAAATGCTATTGCAAAAATGTTTCCAAGAAATTTATAGGAGCGCACTTAGTTTCAACATTAGTTTATCTCAATAACGAGTTAATCCAGGCACCAACATGTTGTTTTAAATTATCTAAGTACATGCGACATTTTCGAGATTTTTCCTCATTAATTCTCATACTAAATTTCCAAAATTCTCAGAATATGCTAAGCATAAGAGGATGTAACTTCGTTATAAAAATGGGATATCAGTCTGATCCGTTCGGTAGAGAAACATCAAAAACTAGATTTGTTGTTTAATTCCACTAAAGGTATGCATAGCATGGGGGCTGAGCCCCACCACCCTCAAATTTCTGGTTACGCCGCTACATCTAACAACAGTTATCTCTTTCATAAATAATACAATTGTTCCAGATTATCCCTTCAACTTCGCATCAATTAATATGATGAGATGCTCCCGCGAATATCTCTTCACTTGACATTCATTTTACAGCTGTATTGTCAAAATACTTTGTTTAGTCAATACTGTTCTTTCACCAATATGGAGATGTCAATGACTACTCAATTTGTCAAAGAAACGATACAAATTACTGAAAAAGATCGCAGAACTTACTGATAGCTGAATAACAACACCAGACGAAATTCCTTTTCTTTGAAAGTTTGAAAATGTCGTAGTTGAGAAGGTAGATGATAAGTGGTGGTGGGATATCGCATTGAGTCGAGTTTGGCTTCAATTAAATTTAAACTCTTCTTTATTGAATATGATTTGCTAGCAGTTGTAAACCATATTTCTAATAAACGTTTCTGTGAGGTAATAGAACAATAATTGAGTTACAAATGTCTTTTAAAAGCACCTCTTACAAACGTTCCCGAATACACATTGTGAAGAGAGTCAGAAGTCAATGATTGACCAAGATCAAAATATGTCAATTCGCGCAAAATATATGAGCCGCGTTGGCCACAAGCAAGATCTACAGCGTTCGTTTTTAATGGTAGTTTTCTCTGAAAAAGAAACCGACGAAAATTTTTTCTGACATCTTCATATAACTGTACTCACGCGTGATAGATTCAATATATTTCGATCTTTGATATTGTTTTCTTTATCCCTTATAAATAATCGGGTGCTGCCTTTTCCTTTTGGCACGGATTTTCTTTAAATCAAATCATAACAATGAATTAGTTAAAGATATACACGCGTGAATCGACAAAAAGTTTGTAACATTTTCTCTTGAAAGTTATTTTAATTTTTTTCAAATACATGAACATAATTCTCATAGTTTTTCTCATCAAATACTCTATTGTTAATGACGGAAGAGCAATGCGATCAACACACTTGAGATATATTCCTCTTCTCGGCAGCTGAGAAGCAAATCGAAAACATGAACATTTCAATGAATATCATTGAATTGTCAGATCATCTGAATAGTGCAACTCTCAAGTGTCACGATTCACGACAACATTTCTTATGCAAGTCAAAGGATTACAACTTAATCATTTGTAAATAAAGTTCCATGAAAAGAATACAATCCTTCTCTACTCAATAATTGCCAATTCAAATTCGAGGTGATATCAATCTTTTAACTAACTCTAACTGAAGCAATTATAATCGTGATTTTTCTATTTAGAGAGTTGTTTATAATTCAGAACAAAATCTGTAACACACTACCCCGAATAGTACAACGAACACAACTGTAATAACCGGTAGGATCGGTCATATTTATCAATAAAGCTTGTGCAGACTTGTCGAGTGCTGCTGCCATAAGAAACGCATGCACTTTTACGAAAGTCTCATTGTAATTTGGTGGACAGATATAAAAACCGAGTTCCAGTTGCTTCAGCTCATAAACCCATTCAGAAATAAACTTCTGGAATTCAGCTTTTTTGGGTTTGCTATTTCCCATTGATATCGAACAGATAATAATGTTAACATTATTGAACCGTATTTGTCGAGGTAACTCATTTATCATCAGTGATGTAATCCAAATAGATTTTTTAAATTTCTTAAGGACGATGCCATCACTATTGACAAGAAAGGAAATTATTTGTTTGTTCGGATCGTTCATGCGTTCTTTTAATACGATATTCCGATGAAGTGCACCTTCTTGAACGTCACGTATTCCTCAGCCACATCCTCCATTGGATTGTGGTAAAAGAGAGTGGCGTTCAAGGATCGGTATTATTTGCGGTAAGAGTCGGAATGTACATAAGGTAGTTGGAGTAGAAATAAAACAAGTTTTGAAGTTGCAGCAATTGTTCTCACATATAGACGAACTCATTCCTTTATTACCTTAGATTGCATGTGAGGTTCGTTTTATTCGTTTAGCATGGCTCTGCTATTTTGTTCAAGTTTTGTGATTAGTTTATAGAATTTGTAGCTTGTTTATAGTTTTTCACCCTCCGCTGGGATATATTAGTGACTCAGCTGAGTGATGGAAGGGCAGGTTGTGGGATAAGTAGCCGTATTGTTGCGTGTATCGATCAATTATCTGCATAGTAGTAAAATGGAACTTATTTTACTGGGTGAGGAGACGATAAAATGTTATGAAGATGTGTTTGCATGAGATTTCTTTGCTTGAAGTTGGGGTGATTATGAGTGAATGTGTTTATTGAAGGAATAATGGATTCAGGATATGGCTAGTGAAGATATCGTCGGTTGCTGGAAACGTCAATTTTTAAAAATGAATGCTCTGCGTTCGTTTTAAGCCGAAGGAAAACAATAATGCTCATTATTCTCAGGTGTAAGTATTGTGTTTACTTTTGGTAGGTGTGCATTGTTTTAAGTTGCTGTGAAAATCACTGGCAAAAAATAGTTGTCGATGAAACGACTGTACCCTTTGAACGTTTAAACTGTCGAATTCTAATATTAAGGGAAAATGAGCTGTTTTCATGTATATTTTTTTACGGAAGTTTTCGCTAATATAGTCGGTGTTGCAAACTGTTGTCAAAACTCGCTGAAATCTAATAATAAAAAAAGATTTTAGTTTTTAAACCGTGTTTACTAAGAAAATTTTTCGTGGAAGTTAAGTGTTGCGTTTTCATGTTTGTTTTGTCTACTCGTGATTGGCTGATAGTTGTGGTTCCCGATGAAGGGCGAGAAACGTGCTGAAATTAATATCAATTAAACGCGTTGACTTTTTCGTGTGTTCATTTAAAAGAATTCCACAGGTTTACTCGCATGGAATATATTTGAATAAAAAGTTCTAGCGTGTCTGGGCGTTTTATTTTTACACGTTTAACGATAATCGTCGGGAACGCCGACTGGTGCGTGAGCACGGTCAAGAAGTATTCGTCGTTTACATGCGTTTTCCTAGAATCTTCAGTGCTTGGGTATTCGATTTGATCAAACTAAACTTAAGCGATCAAACCGATTCTCAATCATTACATGACGCTATAGCTGAGTTTATGTACTCGTTGGATAAGGAAGAATATCGAAAAACGTTTGACAAATGGATCGAGAGAATGTAGTTGTGTGTCGATAACCGAGGTGACTACTTTGAACATTTGATAAAATAAAGTTTTTTTCTATATGCTTACATCTCATTTTCTTTCGGTCACCATCCTTTTTGTATGCATTAACAAGAATACGCAAGAAAAAACTCGACGAATAACGAGAAGAACAGAAAGAGGAAACTAATCTAGAAATGAACGAAAATATTACGTATTGCCAAAAGTGAAATTTCGTGCGATCATAGTTTTGCTCAAAATTTAATCACTTTGACACTATTTAGATAGGGATCAATCAGTACAGGAAAATAGAGCTTCATTCTCTCTATCGTTCTGTAAAAAAAGAAATTTTTTCTGATCGCCTTATAAGAAAATAAGATAGCTTCGACATTACTTTTGGATAACCCTAAGTATATCTACGATCGGAACATCTGAGAGAGCGTATAACAGAAATGTGACTAACAGCATCTGTCACGCGAATCGGTTATAGTGAGAAACAAAGTTTTGATGCGTACCTTCCTACAGATAAAATCTGAACTTGGTCATGTCTTTTACAAAAGTGATATTATGAATGGGGAGCCCCCTAAAATAAGACATGACATACAATATATATATATATATATGAAAAACAAATCAATTTTTTCCGATTCATAGACGTATGTTTCATCAAACTTTATGTCATACTTTATCATTTATCATGATATACGAAAGAGAGTACTTTTTATGACAGACAGAAACGACCATCAATTACACATGATAATATTTACCTGCAGAATCAACTCACACTTATTCATTTACCGTCAGCTATTTCAGTTTCTGAGGACACCATACAAGGACAAACTAATTAATTGATTGATTGATTCACTATTTTCTTAATAGTTTGATACGAACTACATCATTTTGTAAAGTATTTTATATAAAAACAAAAGAACACAAAAATATAGGTAAAGATGTGCGTATGCAATATATTTATGCATCTATTAACTTTTCCTTTACTGCCCTCAAATACACACAGATTCTAATATTCTTAAAAACTTCATTCATATTTCCTCAAAGTAAATTAATAAAATTTCAAGAAATATTTTCGAGAATAATCTACAACTTAATAGAATGAATAAATTTGAAGACATTTTCTTCATTTCATTATATTCAAGCAAAACAATCCTTTATGAATTATTTCATAGACGATTAAAAATACAGAATTTCGTGAACTTTTATTAAAACTAGTAAAGAACATTGGACAACAACACATGAGCATTTGTTCATGACAGAAAAAGACGAATACGCACATGACAATAATAGAAAGAACTGATAGAATATTAGTCTGATCGATTGGGATAAGTGAAAGAAAAGAAGTGTAACTTTTCAAAATATTCTTCTGATTGATAAAAACAATCCAAAAGCTTAATATTACTTTGACGTGGTTGAAAGAAAAACGGTTCCAAACGAAAATAAACCACATTGTATAAAAAAAACTCGGAAGTTATCTGAAAATATGACGGTCAAATTCTAGTGAATCATATTCGAGAAAGAAGTCAGACTTATTATGCGTAATATTTGAAAAGAATATTGTTCGGAGGAAGCAAAGCAATGATGCAGAAAACTTCCGATATACGGAATTTGAAAATCACGAGAAAATTTGAAGAGGAGGAACATCAGAAATATGTGAAAATGCTGTTGTCTCTCGTGTATATATAAAGCCAACGAATTCTATCACTTTTTACGTTTCAAATACACAATATCCATACAACACATAGAAAGTAAGTTTCATATTTATTATAACAAATTATTGTCGTAAAGAGTATTTCATACTGAAGACCGATGCTATCTACTCTGTTTACCAAATCACAGTTCACAAATCGACGTGCTGGAAATGTCGATGAACTTCCACAACCAAGAATTCAGTATGAATACAAAATATTTCGTTATTTTATTTTTTATATTGAATTTGTTATATAGAAAAAATGCAGCTTGGATGCCGTGTTTGGCTGCAGCTTGTATTGGTGGTGTCTTATTCGTCATTGCCGCTGCTATTGTAATTGGGTTGATTCCTCTATATTTACCAACGAAAGATGCTGGTACTGCTACTAATCAAAATAGCAAAGGTATGAACAGATTTATTATTTCTATTTGCGAAGTCTTTTTTTATCATCTTCTCAATAGTGAGATATTTTAATGCATCATTTGCTACCAATATTGATAACGGTGGATCACCACTTCAATTAACCGGACATGACTCATTAAATAAACAAGTAATTTTTTCAAGATTCCTCTGCATGTGAATCTAATTTGAATATTTTCATTTCAGATTAGTGGTTCACTTGACATCAAAAGTACAACAATTAGCGTTCAAGATGCCTATATCGGTACTGCTGTGAGTAAAAAGAAGAAGAAACGTCAAACAAGGTTCGTTTTTTTATGTAACATACTTTGCCAAAAAGTAATGCTTTTGTTTAGTAATGGACTATCATGTGGAAAAGTCCTAGCTGGAAATCAAGCTACTACCAATGGACAAAGTAGCCGGATATTTATTTCATTTCATATTAACTCATGTCCTAAAACTACATGTCAAACTGATGATTGTCTTGAGAAATGTTCAAGTGAAATTAAATCAAAGATTCAAACAGTATTCGGTTCGGGTTCATTATCATTAAATATTCAATTAACAAATGGAACAAGTCTTAACGCACCAGTTCTGTTTTGTTCCTTCAATGAAGTTGTATCAGGTAAGGAAAAAAAATTATATTAGCATATTTAACAAATTTTTATTTCCTATATGGTCTATTCAATACGAGACCTTATAAGGTATGTTGAGGGTTTTAACATATGTTTATTTGCAGTAGCAACAACTTTTACAACCGGGACAGTTGCATCATCTACAACAACAACAACTGGCTCCACCACCACTACTACAACGGATAGTACTACCACCACCACGCATACTACTACCACCACAGATACGACAACAACATCAGACACTACCACAACTACTACCGATACCACTACTACAACGGATACCACCACTACAACGGATACCACTACCACCACCACGGATACTACTACCACCACAGATACGACAACAACATCAGACACTACCACAACTACTACTGATACCACTACTACAACGGATACCACTACCACCACCACGGATACTACTACCACCACAGATACAACTACAACATCAGACACTACTACCACTACTACGGATACCACCACAACGACCACTTAACTGGCAAAACTACTTGCTATACTATCGATAATATATGCACTGCTTATACTAAGATCACAGGTTTTAGTAGTTCTTTTGTTTGTTTTATTATCTATACCTCTTCTACTGTTTTTTTAATCTTCATTCTTTTTCTTCTTCTTCTGAACTTCCGTATCCCGTTTTCTTCACTATGTTTGTCTATCAGATCCATGGATGTAAGTTTCTTGATTGATTAATTGAGTGAGTGAGAAGACGTGAACTGAAAGTCAATTATAGACCGACTCAAAACAATAATTTTCACTTTTATAGATTTTGGGGAAGGTTCTTTAATGTCGTACTAATTTTCATTTTAATTCACACTAACTTTTTATCATTTATCTCCTTTAAATTTATATCTTTATATATGGGTGATTTTACTACGAAAATAAAATTGATAAAAAAACTTGTTAATGCCATTTTTGAGAGACTAAAGACAAATAATCTTATTTTGGAGACAGCTGGAAATGGCAGCAACAAAAACACATTATTTTACAGCATAAATAAAACTATGCGGAAGAAGAACATTTTCAACACAATACTTCCGGAAGGTGAACCTTCAGAGTTCTGCCTCATTCCCATCACCAGGAATTAAAGAGATACACTAATATGCTGGTGGATCACCTCAGAAAAAAACGAATCTCTCTGGAAACAATCGGGAATAAGAAAAGATCTTTTGAGAACCGCCACAGTACCAACCGAGCAGACAAGAATCGTCAAGAACGCGTGAAAACGCTATAAAAATTTTCGCCGTGTTTCTCTACCAATCTCGGTCCCCGATTGTCAGCTAGAAACGTCACAAACAAAAATCCGAGAAAACGCAAAAAAATTTACGAAAATATTTTGCTCTGACTATTCGATAACTTTTTAGAGCTATAATATCTCAGAACAGTTATGGACAATATCCATCTCGGTTTTTTTTGCTGTGTATTTCTACCAATCGGGGACCGCATTTGTCATCCATACTTGACCCATAAATCGACGCGTTTAAGCTCCGCTAATACAGGGTGGCCCAAAAGTCACGACACCGTAACGAAGAAAATTGAATATCTCCCTTATCTTTCGGCCAAAGAAGCTGATTTTTTTATCAGTAATAGAGGAACATCTAAGCTTCATATTCATGTAAATATAGGTGGGACAAACTTGTATTAGATTCCGCTACGGAACTCAACAAAAAAAATTTCATTTCAAAGATAGAAAAAAGGCTTATATTAGGGAAAAGGCAGTTTGATTAGCTTGAAGATAAAAATCAATTCCATTCATGAATAAAACGTGTTGTTTGCATGCTTATTTTCTCTTTATTTTTCTTCCTGTTCTACTAAAACTACGGTTACTATCTTGCAAGATGGTGCACCGCCTCACTATGGTAAAGTTGTGCGAGATTATCTAGACGATACTTTCGTACATTGGATTGGTCGTCGAGGAACTACAGAATGGCCACCACGATCTCCCGACTTAACTCCATGTGATTTCTCTTTATGGGGAATTATAAAAGATCGTGTTTACACTCAAAATCCTCGTAGTGTAAATGATATGAAAGCACTAATCAAGGAAGAGTTTAGATCGGTTAATGATGATATTAAGCTGTGTCAATCGATTTGCCGTTCTGTAGCAAGTCGTTGTCAAATGTGTACTGATACAGAAGGCAAGCAATTTGAACATTTACTTTAAAAAAGATTCATGTTTTCATGACAAACCATCTTTTCTTTGGCATACTGTAT